TGGTTGTGCAATGACAAGTGTTGAGTTACAGAATGTTACCTGGTGTTCATACCCCTCCCCAGCCAGGTACACCTCTGAGCTGGGGATGTGGGAACACCAACGCAGGAAGAGAAAAGAGGCTACCCTATAACAGAGCCAGGAGAGGACTCATTGCAGGCTGAAGTCCCCATGCTCCCCTTCAGCTGGGGACTGCCTGCGAGGCCACGAGCAAGCCCGAAAAACAGCAGCTGAAATGGGGCTTTGAGTGACCTGGTGGCAGAACTGATGGGACAGACTGATGGACAGAAGGACAGACGCTGTGGGTCCAGTGAGTAGAAAGTGTGCCAGGGTGCTACAGCCCTGGCCCCTGTCTGTGCCCAGGGAGTATTTAATATTCAAAAAGCCTGTGAAGAAAGGGACTTGGACTGCCAAAGTGTTGCCTTCAAAAGAAGAGTTTGTGATTGAGAGGCGTAACAGCAATGCCTCTAGGTGACATTTGCTGTGCAGGATTGGAAGGACACACTTTGAATGTGTTTTCAGTGTGCCTTTCTTCCATTGCAATTTCTCCTGACTCCAGGGAATTGGAGCCCTGTATGTCCCTGGAAATTAAAACAAAAACTGGCTTCAGTGATATTTCCTGAAATGCGTTTTCATCTCATTGAATCTGTCCTAAGAGCAGCCCCTAAGCATCCAAGATTTCATTTTCATCTAGTAGTGATCAAAAACAACATCAGCAAGGAATAAATAGACAAAGCCATGCTGCAGGGATATTAATTCACATGACAAGGCAGAGCAGTTTGCTTTATTAAAAAAGAAAGCTCATGTGAGGGTTTTCTTGGTCACTGAGTATTTCAGTCACTATAAACATCTGTATTTTGCAATCTGGTATTTTTTGGGGTCTTGTTTTGGAAAGAATAAATCTTCAGCTTCTTGTGAATGAAGCTGCAGCCCTGCTGAAGGTGCCTGAGTTTGTGATGTGCCTGGAACACAGACAGGCAAGGACAGGGATTGAGGGGGAAACTCAGCTTCATCATTATGGAGGCATCAGTATTAATGGTATTTAGCCATTGGGAATCTGCTAACTCATCCTGGCAGGGACATGAGGGCTTTTTGGTGAATGTCTCCCTTTTCCCCAGCACAAATTTAACTCCTAAAGGAAAAGAACCAACCCCAGCCATGTGGGTTGTCTTTCACACGGGTTAAAACAAGCCAACTCCACCCAAAGCTGTCCAGGACTGAGCCACTGTGGCTGCCCTGGCCCTGGGGCGTGCACCACCTCCCACGCAGGCAGCTGCCTGCATGCTCGCTGCTGCATTGCTGTGGGCACAGAGCATTTCTACATTTCTTTTTCCTGACAGCAGACACATCTCCCCCATGACAGGATGAGTGATGCTGTTCCCTCTGCATGTGCTGTTGGGAGCAGTCCCCAGCTCTGCTTCCCTTACCTTGTCATTAAGCAGCAGAGACATTGCCATTTTGAATTCAAGGCTCGGAGCCAGTATGATTTTAATTCGAGTGATAAAACTAGAAGGGCTCTTACAGCAACACAGCTTCCAGAATGTGATTCAATACTTTTGGGTTTAGACTAGCAGAAAGTGGGAAGAGATCAAAACCCATTCCTGGAGGAAAAGAGCTGCTGCTTCTCACCAGAGACTTATCACACACTGCAGCTGACATGGGAGATGCTGTCACTGTGTGACAGGCCTCTCTGGAGGTCCCCACAGTCGAACAAGAAGTTTATTTGGAACAATAAAACAGTAAACTAGATGTGTTGAAATCCAGCAAAGGGAGAGGTTATGAAGTGCAGGAGTACTTTCCCTGGTGACACCCTGTGCATGTGCAGCAGTTCCCAAGGCATTTCAGGATTTTTAATCTCCAAAAGTCTTCCACAACATATCTTCAGAGTTGGGGTATGTGCTGACCCACATGGCTGTTACTATGGAAACAATTATTCTAACATAGTCAAAATAGTCATGTAAACCCCCTAAAAAAGGCTCAAGCCTTTTGCCATTTATCAAGGACTAGGCCTGCCAGGTGTATGGGGATAGCAGCACCTTTTTGAGAAGACTGTCCTTGGTATCAGCTGAGGCTGGTGGGCATCTACAAAACCCAGCACAAAGCTCTGCCTCCTCAGACCTCCACCAGATCTCACATCTGCAGTGGTGAGATTCAGCCAGAGATCTGGTAATGAAACATCATTTGCAGAGTTTCAGTCCACGGCTGCCATTCACACAAGGAGACTGCTGGCTTTCCTGAAGAGCCCAGGGATACATGCTGCCACAGCTACACATCCCCAGTGACAGAGAGACCAGGGCTGAAAGAGTCCAGGGCATGACACCCCTGTGCAAAGGAAGGAATTAAGGTTTTGTTATCTCAATAACCACTTCACTAAAGACATATGGAGGCAGTGTATTGGGATGTTGAGTTTTTGACATATGCCAGAATTCTCTAAAATTGAACTTTTCTTCCCAAACTGACAAAATTTTTTGCTGAATCACAGAGATACCATACACTCAAAGTACTAATATAGACCTCAGACATCTTCCCAGCTCTGCTTTTTTTTGTGCTAGTCCAGACCTGGAATGAACCAGACCATCCCAAGCCCTTGCCTCAGACTTTGCAGACAGAGCAGCAGCAGGGACAAAGCTGCAGTGGTACAAGGGGGGCCACCTGGTGCCAGCCTCCTTCCTGACACCCAGACCACATCCCTGTGAGAAGAGGAGTTTTCCTGGCATGAAGTGGGTATCAGAGTGCAGCTGGCTGGACTGCTTTGCACATCATCTTTTCCAAAATGGTCTTTGACAGCAAGAGCTGTGTGCATTAAGCTTGCATGCGTGGGCAGCGCTTTCCTGCTAATGCATGGTTGGAGAACTAGGTCTAATCAAATGCAATGTTAAAAACTCATTTATTGAGGCACAGATAGTTAGTCTTGTTAAGGAAGGAGGCAACTGTTTATCAAAGAAGTATCATAATTTTTGGAATTTCCCATATACATAAAGACAAAGAGTATGACACAGCAAAGTCTCTGCTGCTTTGGCTTTTAAGTAGAGAGAATCTCCTTAGAGAATAGGTTATAAAACTTCTCCAAGTAGTTTATGTGATCTTCAGAGACTGCTTGCTCCCTTCTGTTGTTTACATCAACCTTTGAGTGAAAGTTATTTAGCCTTGATTATTTAGCCTGGTGATTTTTATGCTCTTTCTATAAGGTGCCACTTCACTGCACAATGGGGATGTTCCTGACCCTTTTATGTGCACATTTGAGGCTTGACTATATACTGTGAGGACTCTTGATTTTTCTAAAAATACCTATTTAATATACCTAATATGCTGTGTTTAAACAGTAGCTGTGAACAAGCCTCTCTTCCTCCTCCTTAATGTCACCTCTTGCTCACCATTTAAAGATGCCTGAAGACTGTTTCTGTATTTTTCCCCTCCCATTGTGAAGCTTTTATAGCTGAAACTGAAATAAAACCTGACTCAGGTTTGTGGGTACCAAAATTCAGCCCCACCTACCATTTGCTTTGCAATGCTGCCTGAAATATCATTTTAATTTCACTTTAGTTGCTTGCCAAAGAGGAAGCCCAATTAAAGAGACGAAGAAGAAATCTGTTAATGGCACTTTTCATGAGGAACACCACAGTAACAAAGCAGCGTGCATGCGAACACAGAAAGTGAGAGATGGTGAGCCCTACTGTGCCTGTCAGCTTGGCTGTTGTATGCAGGGGAAAAGAGAACAAAATTTACAAGGATGCTGCTCTCTGAAGTGGTGTGTGAGCTGCTGGTGAGCCCGGGAAGGAAACAAAAAACCAATTCAAAACAATTGAAGAACAGCGTGGATGTGCTGGGAAAAAAACCCCACCGCATTCAAATTTCAAGGGGTTCAAGGGTGAAATTAAATACTATTTGCTTAGATATAAGAACCACTTTTGGAATAGCAACCCTATAAAAAATGTCTCACAAGAGACTACAGCCCAGCGTTTCAGGTTTGATAGACTTTGCTCTTTTCTCCACCCCTCATTGCTGAGCACAATGTTTTATTAAGGTTGTAAAATCAAGCCTTTCAACAATTCTAATGGGGTATTTTTGCAGGGTAAACTTCCACTTTTTTTTTACGATAATGCACAAGTAGAAGAAAGGATCTGTAAAGCATCAGAAAACTATCCAAGTTTTCTGCAGGGACCTGCCTCTCTTTTAGGGGGCTGTCCAGAAACCTGGTGAGCACCTATTTTTCCACCTCAGCATCCAGGACTGAGATTGACACGAAGATGAACTGCAGGTGCTAGTTAAGAATAACACTCCACAAATTAAAAACCTATACTGAACTATTTATTTTGTGCATTCACCTTTCACTGCAGCACATGCCAACTGCTGAAGGGAGCAAGCAGAAATTGGTTCCATCACCTCAAGCTGACAGTCAGGTTTTCAACCAACAGTCCTCCAAATGAGATGACATGATTAGGCTGCTTGATGACAAGCAGGAGTGCTTGATTTTCAGCAGTAGCAGAGCTGTGTTATGGCCTGCATTAATTTGCTAGGAAATCACTTTAGAAGAGCATAAAGGGTGATGCATTCAAGTTAGAGCTGTAGTACAATAAATGTCCCAAAGGTACCTCTGAAGTGGGCTCTTCCCATGAGATTCTTCAACAAAAGGAGCTGAAAATGACCTGTCTCTAGATATCATAGTTGGAGAAGTATGGAGATAGTCTATGAGGTCATCTGACAGCAGATATTAAGTATTAATGTATTTCAAATGTTATGTGTATTTACTGACAGAAACTGAATAGGTCAAACATGTTTCTGGCTCACAATAAAAGATGAAATGGTGTTTAGTTCCATGTATGAATAGCTGCTCACATAAATCAGTGGGTGTGCATGCAAGGGTTGTTGGGACTATTTCCTTGATGCCTCCTGTTTCTAAATAATTTTGTGCATTGTCTCAAGAAGCAAACTCTGTAGAGAAAAGTTTCAAGCTTTAAAACAAGGTTATAACAAACAATGAGATTACCACACAGAGCAAACAGTTTGTGTTAGCAGAGAACAAGTTTATTAAACAGTGTTCTTGCATGTTGAATTCACAAATTCATAGTGCACAAATGAGAAACATGATCTAGTTTTCCTCTCATCAATGACAAAACCCCCTAATGCACGAATGAGCCTCCCATACACCTCTTACATTGTTCAAGGTATTTGACTTTTTGCTATAAAAGGAATTCAGGGCTCCTTGTGCAGGGAGTCCATCTGAACAGAAAGATTAGATGGGTCCAATGAAACAACCATTGTCACCTTTCATTTGCATTTCCAGGCTGTCCCATACTATTTTAGATATTGTGCATATCCTGACTCTCCCCTACATCTATCTCCCTGCCAGCAATAATGCATCCAGAATGGAATGTAAAATAATTTTTACTGCCATCTTCAGTCAGATGAGTTAGGATAATGAAGAAAACTTTCACAAAAACCATCACTGGTTCTATGTTACCTGAATAATTTCTCTTTGCACTTCTCCACTCTTTGCTTTAGACATATCTAGTGGTTTATATCATACAAGGGGACAGCCAGACACACCTGAGAGCACAGAGCCATCCTGAGGGGTGGGAGGAAGGGAAAACCCACCAAAGAACACCCCATCCTGAGACCAAGACCACATGCCTGCTTTCTGAGATCAAAACTGAACAGCATTTCAGTTTGATTCAAGGGATTGTATACACTGGCCATCAGGTGTGTGCCAACCTCCCTGTACGTAACCCAGATTTGGATGGAAAGCGCTCTTCTGTAACCCACTCCTCTCAAACTAACATCACACTGGTGGTGTGGTACAAAGGTGCAGGCAGAGAAGAGCCTGTTTTTAAAATCTGAAGTGCACAGCACATGTTACAGGGTCACTTGGTTTGATATGCCTCACTATGCCTCTACACCTAGGAATTTATGAGGCACTGCTTTAGCAATGTTTTCTCTATTTTAAGGACTGCAGTTGTTGGTACCACTTCTGGATGATGCCACCATTAATTTTTTCATTCATCACAACATACCTAGGGCTGGTTTGGATAGAGGCACGTTGGCAGAGGCTGACCAGGTGTAGTATCAATAGCAAGAAGCCCAACCTTTTCCTGGTATGTACACAACCTTTTACAGAGAGTACGTGCTTGGGTGTCGAGGTAGGGAAGGGTTCAGAACAAATCACAGGCAAGGACCACAGATGTGACTGTCAGGCAGAACCACACATGCATCATGCAGAATGGGTTTTTTTACTGTTTTCCACAGCTTAATGAAAGCTTCCTGTTCCTTAACCTTCATGTGGCACAAGAACAGGCAGTGACCATGCTGCTGACAGTGCTGCCCTGTGCCTGCTGAAGCTCTGCACTGCACAGCGACGCAGGGTTTCGGGGCCAGACCCACAGAGATATTTAGGGGCCTAACTTCTATTTCAGACTTCAGTGGGAGGCTGGTGCCTAAATAGGAGTTGAGCACCTGATTACCTTTGCAGGTCTGGGCTTGTGTGGAAGCAGCCAGGAGGTGCTCCACGTCCCTTGCCTGCCCACAGGAAACACTGCTCTTCTCCAGCCGGCCGTGGAAGCGTGGTGCGGTGCGACCCTGGTGTTGTGAAGTAGCCGTTCTCCGACTGGTGACGGCCTGATTCACAACACCAGCTGCTGCACAGCACCTGAGGGGGCCCCTGGCCAGGCTCCCTGCTCCTGGGCTCCTCTGTGCTCTGTCCTTCTCTTCTGCAGTCCATCTTCTACGCCATTGAGTGCTGGAAAGCAAAGTGACAGGGTTAGATCCATCGACCCCAGCAGTTATATACCCCTGTCTGTTTGAAATACAAACTTGTCAAGGGTGAATGCCTCCAAGAAAAAAAAAAAAAAGAAGAAATAGAAGTGGCAAACTGGCTTGGCACTCAAGATCTAAGGCTTTGCAGAGGTGGCCATTGCAGCACAGTACTGCAAACGTGTACAGCTGCACTCCTGCAATTCATTCCCTGCGCTCGTCTCATGAGAGCCGGAGGCTGGAAGGCGGAGGAAGCAACCTAGAAACTCAGCCAAGCCCTCAGAGACATGGGAGAAGCAGGCTGCTTTTTCACAGATCCCAGGATGTTGTTGAAAGGAGAGCAGGGCCCGAGGGACCGCTTCACTTCCCGAGTGCACCGTGGCCATGAACCTTCATGCCTGCGCCCTGTCTGCTCCTCTGAGGTGGGCGAGACACCAGCACGTGTGTGGGCCATTCCCAGAAGCTTCCCAACACACTGGCATGCAGGAAGGTGCTCCCCACCCCACAAATGTCCCAGTCTGCAGGCCTTTCGGTCCCCTCCAAGGCACCCATCCCTCGGGAGCTCTCAGAAGCTGAGGGACACAACCCACTGCTGACCAGGAAAAATGAGCTTCTTGTAAAATCACAGGGGAGTTATGGATTCTGGGACTCAAGGGAAAAGGAAATCTTTGTCCCTGTGCAGGACTGACACTGGTGAGCATGCCAGCCTTCACAGCATGCACACAGCGTGTCTCTCGAGCAGCACAAGGGCTCAGGGTTGCAGTGGTGCACCACTACAGAACTGGGGAGAGCACAGCTCCAGGTGGTCCTGCAGCTTTTCAAGCAGAGAGAGGTGGAAACAGACATGTGGTTCTTCCTGATTCCCTTCAAAATGCTGCACTGGTGGTACAATGAATCACTTGTCAGGGCTGGGTCATTCTTAAGGGGTTACCAACAACTCCTTATTGGGTTAACTAATCTAGGCTCTTGTGAAAAATAAGCAAATAATAAACTTGATCTTGTGTATTGGAGACCTTCCTCAGCAACCAGCCTCCAGAAGGCAGAATTTCTGTGAGTTAGTTTAGGACTATCCCTGGGATGAGGACTCAGGAAGTCCTTAAGCACATTGGATAGAAAGAAGTGATATACAGCCTAGCACACCTCCAGGGAGAACTGCTGGTTTTTAATAGTTCTCCTGAAATGGGTTGGATTTGGAGGCATAGGAAGCATCCCTGACTGTATGCCCACTGCCCAATTTAATCCAAGGGAAACTTCATGCCCCTGCTTAGAAAGATGTGTATAGTCCCTGGGCAGAGAAGCAAGTAACATATGCAGTAGCAAAAAATATTCCAGAGAGACAGGTTATGCAAGCTAGTTGCTGTAGGAAATGGAAATAAATTTCTTGACACTTGTGCATGTGTGCACACTTGTAAAGTCCCAGTAATGTTGTATTAACAGAGCTTTTATTTAAAGAGCAGTTTTCAAAATTTTAACATGTTGAAACAAACGAAAAAAAGGAGTATTTACATTTTATGTGTATCTAATATTCCCACCAGCCTTCAGCTCTAAAAGGAAGAACCAGAAAGCTGAACCTGTGTTGTGGCTGGTGCTGATCAACAGTGACATGCTAATGCTGGATGAAGGGGAATCATCTCACCAGGGCAGATCTTTCAGTGTCTGTGGTGGCACCAGAGATGGAGGTTGGTTTTCTACTTCTTTATCCCCTTGGTCAGATAGTCCAATGTAGTCTTTGTGTACATCTAAAATTTTTAAATTTTAATATTCTCCCATTTTTACTTAATATTATTTTATTAGTCATCTACTGGCAATGGCATTCAGGTTCTTTGACACTACATGGTCTGAAAGCTTTTTTTACAATTTCAGTTTGATTGCACGCAGGGAAGTGTAGAATCTCCTGAACAGCTGAGTAATACACAGTGAGGGAACTGCATTCCCCCACGGCCAGCTGGGTCCAGAAGCCCTGAGGAAAACCACCAAACCCAAATATTTATTTTAGGATAACACTAGTGCATTAGGAGAAGAAAGTCATCTCCTATAAATAGGAAAATAAATTTCTCAGTTTGGGGGGGAAAAAAATCCACGAACACAAACCCACCCAGTAACACAGACAATCCTGCTTAGGAATTAGCATTTGTGTGTGTGTGTGTGTGTGTGTGTACATTTATATATAAGTATTTAGAAACAGGAAAGAGTAATAAGAAGCTGTGCCAATGAGCTGGTTTTTGTGCCCTGAGTTGCAGGCGGTGAGCGGGACTTGGGCATGGGTTCAGCACTAGACTGGGGGCATTAACTGCAACCCCACCCCGAAAGGTTATTATCACCCCTAATATCCCATGCAAATAGATTTTCTTGCTTTGGTCACAGCAGTCTATTAATTCAGCCCTCTTGTCTGGTACATCTTTATCCTCTGCAGGTTAATCCTGCCAAATTCCCTTGCTGTAGTACATGTCACACAGCATATAATATCCAACAATGCAATTTTGCTAATCCTGTTTTATCAGCTTTGTTGCCTTGTCTGGTCAATCCAATAGCGAAAAACCGCACATAAGGTTTTTGCCAAGATCTCCCTCTCTTTTGCCCCTCCACTCCCCTCCCTTTTGTATGGTTTCAATTAAATAGTTTGAGAGCAGAACATAGCATTTGGATATCTGCCAATGTCCTTCAGAAGCAGAATGTCAAGGCACTTAATTATATAGGTCTCCCAATTCTTTCAGGCGCCCCACCTACCCAGTCAGCTGAATTTACTAAATGCAAGTGTAAAAAATCAGCTCAAATCTCCTTTTAAAACACTCCCCATGCATTAAGGACTTGAAGATGGCTGAATAGCGAAATATTTATCGCCCTTTATCTTAGTAAAAGATTAAACAAATGAGTAAAGACTGTCTCATTAACAGTTCTTTGTTGTCTTGTTTACTGTTTAGTGGACTCATTAACATTAATTATTAGAAGAGGAACATCAATTATTGCAATAACCTTTGTCAAGCCAAGCAAAACTGACTGCTAAACAGCAAACAGATCCTCGTTTACCAGTCAGGATTTGCGTGGACAGAAAGAAGAAAAAGAAAAGAATCCCATATAGTCCTCAACATCACTGTAAAGCAGGAGAGATCCAGTGTCGCTTGTTAAGTCTGGCATCAGCAGCACGTCCTGCTCGAGACCTCTAGACAGGGAATAAAAGCGTGAGTAAATTCTGAGGTTAACTCCGCAAGACTTGCTTACCCAGCTCTAAGTGGCGAGATGTGAACAAAGGGATCCCTACTTCCTCTGGCGGTTGCCAGGCTGTATTTATTACACTAATTATTTTAACGCAGGGAACAGCCTTTTCTCTCCCTCGTCATCAGCGCAGTGCATATGCTTGTATAAATATAACGCAGACTGCAGCATCGATTTCAGGATTCTCCATCAACACGCTGCTAGAGCTGACTGCTTCACTGCCTCAGGTGAAGGGCATTCTCACAGTTACAAGATATTATGGCTCAGACTTTTTCCTCCTCCCTTCCCCTCTTCCTCAAATTTCTTTTTCCCTTTGAGAAAACCAATCCCAGGTGGAGATCTCATCCCCTGCCTGAGCAGAGATTCGATGTTGTAGCAGTATTTTAAAGACACCATATATTTCAGCAGCTCTGGCAGGAGTTAAATGCCAGCAGTAGTACATCCATTATTTAAAATACTCTGAGGAAGAAAGCTGAGTCACACTAAGCTGGATCTGTCACCTCTGACACTGCTTCTCAGCCTAAATACAAGTGCTAGCCTGTGCCCAAGAACAGAACGAACCTTTGCAGAAATACCCTGAGCCAAATGCAGAGGTTTGAGATTATATTTATATACAAATAGAAACAAGGGCAGCAAAGTGCTGCACTTTCTGCAGATGCTTCCACAGCTACACGCAGTGAGTGAACACGCAGATCTGTCCTTACACCAGCCAGGTTTTGGAGAACAGTCCCTTGCAATTTCTGAGCAGCTGCCCTGTGACTGCTGCCCCGTGACTGCTGCCCCATGCTCGGTGTCACTGGGAGCCTTCCTCCTCACCCTGGCAGTGAGGTTCACCAACACCTTCCCCTTGCTGCCCCTCACAGTACACTGACTGTGTCTGGATCTCCCCACTAATTAAAATGTGAAACAATTAAGCTGTTTGCTAAATGAACGATTCTGGCCCTACAGCCCGCTGGCCAGAGAGAGAGGTCCGCAGGGACAGCAGAGCCTGTTACCTCGGCATGAATTTGTGCTGACAGGACAGTCCATCCGTCTTCACATCTTTGGACAGCTGTGCTTACCTAGCAGAATGCAAACATCTCTGAACTTTGCTTACTGGATAAAAGGAAGCATTAGTTTCCTATTGCATTTCCTCCTACAAGATCAATCATACACACACGGGCCAGACACAGCATCCCTGTGTTTGTAATTAATCTCGTGAAGGAAGAACATCTCCTCTCAATCGATTGTTATATTTGTATGCAGCCTTCCTGCAAGGGAGGGAGTAGAAGAAAATAAAGGCCAGTAGCAGAATAATAATCAGCTTATTTCTAATAAAGGCTGGTACATGCTATATATGCACAGCAAGATGCTTTTTTAGGTGAGCTGATTCTCTGTTGGAAAAATCACCTTGCAATCAATGTTAATCATTAACATTGAGGACTGTAGGATTGCCTTTGGACGTCCTGATGGCGGAACTCGCTTTGATCACAACAAAATTCAAAAGGATTTTCTGGCTTTTTTTTCTGATGTTTTCACTGAAACAATACATGTGTACTTCAAAATAATCTTCCAGATGCTTTATGGTCTTTTGCTAAGTGTTACTGATTGCAGATAACCAAACTGAACACCACACAGTCACTGTGTTCACTACCTGGTTTGCTTACAGGAGACTTCTTCCCACCAACACATCTGGTCACAAACAATGTCTCGTTCACATTTTCCTTACTGTGTATGAGGATGTTTAAAATCCAGACTAAGGAAATATTTATTAAGAAACCAACAAACACCCCC